CCCCAAAACCCCAAAACCCCAAAACCCCTCTAAACAAAGTTTATATTGACAATAAATTTAAGCTATTACTCTTTTGCAATTCTTTACTAAAATAAGCCTTTTCCCAGAAAAATTAAAGATAGAAATTGTGATTATATTTCAACTAAATTTCTTTCTTCTGCTTCTTGAGTGATTAGCCAAACTAACCGGTTGTGAAGATTGGTTATATGCCAAAGTACCACATTTCTTTGATCAATAGCACAGTAATACGACATTTTTTTTCGGTTTGGTAAACTCTCTAAATCATCAGGAATATCAAGGGGATATCCTTCATAAAACTCCTCAAGAATGCCAACAGTCTTAGTAACTGCTTTGATTTCATTCTCGATTGAAATGTATCCGTATGTATTAAGATTATTAATCATATGTTTTCCTAATGACTTAATATCCTTTCCCAAGTCCTCAGGAGGGAAATCATAGACAGTTATTCTGTAGAAATTTAATAAAGCTTCTTCATCCTCCGCATCGTCGAGGAAGGATATTTTAAAGTTCAATCTGGCAGTTTTTGACAAATTATTTGGATTTGCTACACAACGAACTACAGCACATAACTCGTAGTTTTGTTGAGGGATTTCATTTTCAAGCGAGAATGAGATTTGCTCCCCAAGTCCATTCTTCACAGCGAATCCGTAAATGGATAGAATTGATTTACAAGCAAATTTTGTGGTGTAAGCAAACCCGTATTCTTCTCCTTGTTTGAAAGATCCATCAACTTGGAGAGACAAAGAGTTATTCTTTGGAACTAGATAAAACTTTCTCAGATGGTATTTCTTGATATCGTCATTTGAGATATTGACGAAATTGTGCCTTTGAGGTACAATCATATTGATTACATCAAACACTGGAATAAGAGCATTGTTTTGGCTAGCAACAAACTTCCTATTAAGCTGCATATTAGGCACTCTTGCTTGATAGAGGCCATTTATAGCAGCATATTTGCCTATTTTTATCACAAAAGATCTAGTATTGACCATATTATATGCCCAGATGAACTGCTTTTTGTCAGGAATTACCTTCTTCACTATAAACTTAGCTTCAGGAGAGTTTTCCTCTTTGAGAGCTTGAATAATTCGGTCATAAGTTTGACCAATATTTCTAAAACCAAAGCCAACAATGGATATTTTCTGGTAAAGTTCAACTTCTTCTTTCTCCCATTGGTTAGGGTGATCAATATCTTTGTGTGTTGGCAAATTGAATATGAAGTCATGGCAAACCTCTCAGTCCTCAATGTATAAAGAAACATCTTTATATTGAGGGAATTTGCTATCAAGTGTTTTCCTCTTGACGTTCAAGTTAACCAAGACTTGCATAGTAAGTAGCACGGCTGAACTATAGATATCATTAGGATTCCTTGGTCGAGGAAGGAAATTAGCCGTCTCTGGTATTTTCTCCATGACATCCATAAGCGTCTTCTTGAATGGGAACTCGTCGTACACTGACATTATCATGCTAGCAGGAATTTCGAGTGTATCGGCACGATGTGAGAGATCTTTTTGAACTAAAGTGTAAGTTCCCTTTCCTTCTTCATATTCTAATGACAGGCTTCCATTGGCGGAATAATCTTTCATCAGATTCTGCATTATTTTTAGTCGTTTCTGTGAGTCCTCTTGCCCCATAAAAACACCTGATGAGATAGAGAAGATTCAGAACAAGAAAATTAGTAAAAAGTTAGATTTCTTTGGCAAGGACATTTTATTAATTATATTGTATCCAATAGTGTCAAGAAATATTGGGGTTTTGGGGTTTTGGGGTTTTGGGGTTTTGGGGTTTTGGGGTTTTGGGG